AGACAGACTTCAAATTAATTCCTCCCGTGTGTTTCAAAGACCTGGGAAATCAATGAGTTCTACACATGCATTGCTTTTTGTCTTTGCTTTTAATGCAAGTTTATTCACAACTCAAGGACTAATTAATTCTGTCTCTAGCTTTTATCATGCAATGCTACAAAGGGATAAAAGAGATCTTTCCCCGTGTTTTATTTTCTACTTTACAACTCTTATTGAATTAGCTCAGTGCAGTTCGTATGACGCCGACTGCTGTGCATGTGCTTTCTGTTCAGTGTGGTGCAAGCAGCCAGTGGGCTGAGGGCTTGGTGCAGTCAGTGGCTGGAACCAGGGGACACCTGTGGGCTCCGTGCCTCACCGTCCAGCTGTGAGAACTCTTTCTGGCCCATGATGATAATGCATGGAAGGTGGAAAGGTGAGTCTGCACCACCCGGTACTGCGGCACCCCATGATGGAGCCCTGCTGCCACTGCGATGCAGACACAGCATAGGCCATTCAGGGCCCAGCCGATGGCAGCAGCTCAGTGGCTCACAGCCAGCCACCCTGTGGCACCCCTGAACAGCCAGCAGACTGGTGTACCCCAGTGGTGGGGGTCATGCTGAGATCTTCTGGGTGGGTCTGTAAGCAGGCTGGTTAGTAAGGTCATTGAGAGAGATTGGGTTCTGCCAAGGAAACATCTGTTTTTCTTTCAGGGTTCATCCCAGGAGTGTGGAGCGGACCCAAAAGTTTCAGTCTTTCTGATGAGCTCAGGGGGCATCTGATCTGCACAATGTGCCTACAGGGTGAGAGGGCATGGGGGGAACGGGAGGTTCCTCTGAAGGAGAGAGGCCATGGAGCACGCAGGGCCTGCGGGCATGCCTGCCTGCAGGACTGGGTGTGTGTATGGATTAGACTTATTATGGTATAACAGCAAATGTTGATGTTGTTCTGAAACATTTCATTTCATAAAATCAAGCCTCATGGGAATTGAAAAGATGTGCTTGCTCATCACCATAACTGGTGTATCTCAGTATCTCAACTGGTGTATCCTGTATCTCTGTCAGAAACAAAGCCAGGATTCCTTCCTCAGAAATTCTTTGCTTACTGCAGTGCTGGCCGTCCTTGACAGACGCATTCCCACACGCGCTGTGTTTTCCTCCATGGGGCTGAGAGCCCCTCTGAGCGGGGCCGGCACACCATGATCTTTTCATAGCAGTGCTCATTAGTAACAAGGACCAGAGAGACTCTGTTTTACTGCTCAGGCTGCACTGCACAATGCCTTTTTGATGCTGGGTGGTCTGACTCCCCCAAGGGCCTCCAGCTCTGCATGAGATTGTGCTGAGGCAGCCACCCATGTCCTGGATGTGCAGCAGAGTTGGTCTGAGACCTGTGTTTGGAAATGATAACTGAAGACACTGATAAAATTGCAAAGTGTTTCCAAATTTTGTTCTGCCAATGAGCTGCTATGTCCAAAGAATTATTGTCTGGATGTACTTTTTCTGTCCCTTCTTGTTTTTTGTTCTTTTTGCCGCTTGGACAAAAGTGTTTTGCAGTGTTTGTAGCTGGTACAGTAGTGCCAGATCAGATCACAGCAATATCAACCGAGTTAGGTTTCACCATTCTGTCTTTTTGCAGAAATACCAAGTAATGCCCTTGCTCTCACATCTGTAGTACAAGGGCTGGCACTTAGCATCCCCCAGCCCCCAGCACCCTGTTTTAGGTATGTAAGGCTCAGGTTTGTTAATTTCCTGAGTGCAAAGTGCACTGTCTTCTCCTCTTTGTAACAATTAGGGGGCAAAAATTACTGGGATAGAGTTGATGTGCTCTTAGGAGCACTTTTTCAATTTTTCCTTCTGGCAGCAGGACTTCTAATTTGCTTGGTTTGGTGTCACCATGTTGAAGAGGACTTTGTTGTGGAAAAGGAGTCAGTCAGTGCAGTTCCACCTTTTGTTACCCTTTCCTGTGTGCTTTCTTGGTTCTGTGGCCACCTTGCTGCGTTTTGCTGGGAAGAACACTGAAGGTGTTAGTGTTCCATTTCATCCGTCAGTATGCAGTGGTAAAAATAATAATCCACAGTCTTTAATTCGTTGTTAATTTTCCTTTCCCTTTGCCATCTTGGAGTTAGTCTTGTGTTTGTGTTGTGTCTGAGGCAAGCACAGAGGGCAGCAGGTTGTGGCTGATGTGCAGTGCGCTTTGCAGCGGTGGCTCTGGTGGCTCTGTGTGCTATGTGCTGTGCACCAGCCCTGGGAGCTGCTCCACACTGCTGGAGGGTCTGCTTCAAAGTAGTTGTTTCGTCCTTGGTATGTTTGTGTCTTCTTACAGCCTAGAACATGCTAAATGAGGGAAGGAACTCACTGCAATTCATGCTGCAGTCATCATCTAAAATACTCTGGTACAGATACCATATGAAGTAAAAAAGTGAATAGAGCTGCACATTCTGCTGCAAAGGACGTATCTCCCATTTCAACATAAATTGCTCTTATTTCAGCCTGTTGCAACACATGTGCACGTACTTTCATATTTTTATAAGTGTTTACAGAATTATTTTATATTGCATTACCCAGGGCTGCTGTGCCTGCTAATCTGTCAGGCTGGAAAAACAGCAGAGACTTAGGCAGGTGTGTTCATAAGGTTGAAAAATAAGCTGCCCTGGTCTGGTTTTGATTGAACAATAAGTGGCAAACTGAGTGCTGAGCAGTAGTAATTCTGGGATGTACTGAAACTGATGGCATGTGAGCCCAGGCATAAAAAGCCAGTTGTTTCTGGAGGCTCTTCACAGTCAGCTCTCTTCAGGTCAGCACTGGCTCACCTGAGTTGGGAATGTGCAAATTGGAGTTCAGTCTGTAACTGTGCTGTATTGTGTGTTCTGAAGCTCTGCTCTCTGGCACTCACAGAAATAACACTGAGTGCGCTGCTTATTCAAATTAAAAAAAAAAAAAAAAAGTGCTTAGGACAAGCCTTGAACGAACTTCGATTTCCTTTGGCCACAACAGCCATGCACTGACCAAACATTACTTAGCAAAAGCACAGAACTGGGCCATGGCATTCCTTGTGCAAATGAACATGCTGTCTGGCTGCACAGGAGGCCTGTTGTGTGGTGTTGGGTCTGTGATACAGGTCTTGCTGACTGTCCTACTGGGCTCTCCCTCTTTTATGAAAGGTCTTCAAAATATAGGAATGTATTAGATTGCTGGTACTTTCTTGACATAACTGAACTTCCAAAGCTCTAGTACAGAGGGATCAATGTTTTCACATCATTGACTTAAAGCCCTGCTACGTTAAATCCTGTTCAGTTCCAGAGTTGGCTTGCATCACATGTAGCAGGATGGAGACAAGCTGTTCTTCAGGAGAAGTCAAGCAAACCAAGCTAATCCCCTCCCTAAGGAAGCATCTCACTCCCTTCAGAGCTCACAGTGGTGGAGCTGAAAAGGGAGCCCTGCTGAATTTACTGCAGTATGCAGTGGCATCTGTATATAAAGAACAGACTGATACTCTGAGGACTTGAGCAGCAGGAGACTATACTATGCAACTTCTTTCACATTCATTCAAACAGGAACTGCAGCAGTTTATGTCTGCAAACAGAATTTTTGATGCTTCCCTAAGGGACAGGCTTAGAAAAAGAGAACAAGCTGCAATGAACTATGCTGGTAGCTGTGTTCTAGCTGCTCTTACTTTTCCATGTTTCATCACAGGTCCTTGGGACCAGGCCACTTTAATTTACCTGCCAGGCAGGGACTTCAGGAACCATAGTCTACATATCCAGGCATTGCCTTTCTGTTGTTTGTTTCCTTCTTCTACCTTTTGTTACAAATTTCCTCAGATTCATGATGCAGGGTTTAAAGTGAACCTCCAGCAAGAGCCTGGAGACATTTAGCACGTCCTAGAATAGGACTAGAACATCAGTACCTGGAAATACATGAACAGCAAGGTCAAACAAGAGCACTGGTGGGCATGGACGTATCTTAAATGTCTTATGTCTGTTCACTCTGTCTTATATTTCTTCTTGTTGTGTTTATTTATTTAGTTATTTTGCATGATTATTTTGTTATAGGAAGTAATAATTTGGCTAAAACATTCTCCTGGGGTTTTTTATATCAATAGTCAGCCATACTGGAAACAAATAGATACATATGGGTATTGTCCTCCATCGTATTTGGATGAGTCCTGATTTCATATTTTCTTCCTTCTCACTTGGAATTACTGCTTTCTTTTGCAGACAGTGCCCTTTTAGATGCTATCAGAGTGGATTTTACTGATTTAGGTTACAGGAAGGAACTTAGGCTAGAAATAGATGGTATATTTTCTGCTAAGAATACTGAAATAGCTCATCTTAAAAGATGGGGGAAACCTAGCCAGTTGGCCTCAGGCCAGCAGATTGCCAGGCTGACAAGTCGCGGGAAGCCTGGCTGGCAGATTAATGGTTTAAAATCTAATGCTCTAAAAGGAGAAGTTGGGCCCCAGTAGGCATTTGGCAGGAGCAGATTCGGGAAGAGCTATGTGCTAATGCCCTAATGCAGTTTTGCCTTTGACCCAACAGCATCTTTGCAAGGCCCTGGCATTCCCACGTGGTGTTTCTGTCACTGTGGTACTGAACCACAGCCTTCTGTTTGCTCTTACCAAATGTAATCAGCAGGCAACTGTATAGGTCTGTTTGATAGAGATCCTTCTTGAGACTTCAACCATTAATTGCAAGGTCCTGGTTATTTTTGCACAAAAATGATCTTTAGTTGTGTGGCTTTAATGCTGAACAGGCTGACATTTGTGAGACCCAGCTACCCCAAGTGCCCTTTTCCAGCAGTTCTCACTATTCCAGTCACTGTAGTACTTACTAGACTAGAGATTTCCAAAGCCTTGCTCTGACAGCATTGTCCGCCATTAAAACTGTTGATGTTAACCATTAAAACATGGTTGATGTTCATGTAACATTTTTTTTATTACCTAAAACATTCTTAAAATCATTAAGTCATAATCATAATCATCTAACCTGAGACAGGTTAGACTAGAAAACAACTGTGGGCCAGAATTCAGGCAATCCTGCAAGAAATTGTTCTTCCCACAAATGGAGAAGGAGAGCAAATACAGAATGGGAATTTGGGTTTAGGTGGATCTTGCTTGTTTGTTTGCCTTGTATTTTTGCTGAGGATACTCCCCATCCTAAGTTTTCTTCCCTGGTATCAAAAAATGGAGACAGAGGCAGCATGCAGTGCTCCCCAGGATAGGCTGATGGGCAGATCCTGCAGGCTTTGCTCCGTTTCCATGCAGTCTTTCCTTCACTTACAGTTTCAGGCTTTGGCCAGGGATGGTTGCAAACATGCAGTGTTTGTCAGGGGGCTGACTCTTAGATCCACAGAGCACAGTGAAACATATTTGAATACTCTGTCTTAAAGTTTGGGCAGTATTTACAAGTTGCTTACTTTCCACTTCTTTTCATTCATTGTTTCTCGTGATTTGACAGCATTCCAGACCCAAGATTGATTCGATTATATCGTACAGTTTTCTATCAGACACAAAAATGACCTCTTCCTGTGCAGCTGTGTGATAGCAGAGCTCAAACAGGAATAAAATCTCCGAATGAGAGTAAGAGGAGTTCAAAGGCACATCACAGATTAGGCACTCGCTGCCTGGCTGCAGTTGCAGCAGTGCCAGGGCTGAAGGCATGGCTCCTGGGGCAGCCCAGTGAGCAGAGCAGAGGGGATGGTGACCCTGCAGCGTGTGCTCTGAGCAGGAGGAGCAGCTGAGGTGCCCTCAGGCTCTCCTCTTCCTCTTAGTGGGGTTGCTGGGGTTTAGAGGCCACTGTCACACAGTGTACTGTTTTAATGATAAGTCATTAGTTATGTATTCAGAGTAACGACTTCTTTCTACGTGCTGCCAAACAAATTGAGTTAAACTGGGAAAATGATGCCTGGTGTGCTGTCTCTAAGTGAAGTGCTTGGCTGTTACATAATGGTTTTAATGACTTTCTTCATCCGTCTGCTTAGGAACACCGTGCGTCTGGCAAAAATTTGAGAAGGCTCAAGGCGTTAAAGAAAGCTCATCTAAATAAAGGCGGGTTAAAGTGACATTGCAGTTACTTAATCCTGTATTGTCCTGCCATGTGACTTCAGTGATACTGAGGCGCTGCGTTTCTTTTGGCTGGTGCACAGATTATGCTTTTCCTGTCATCTTCCAGGATCCGTTGCTTTGTTAAAGCAGCAATGGGAAGGAAACAGAGGGGCAACAGACTATTTACAGCAAGGATTCGAGGAGGTCACTTCCAAGGCACAGTGACAAGCTCCCAGGCTGAGGAATGAATCAGAGAAAAACCCTGTGTTCAGCTTTTGGACTGGTACCAGAATCAGGAGCCACGTTCTTAAGGTCAGCTACTCAAAATGAACTGGAAGTATCTGAATTTATACAGAGTAGGCTACTTGTCTGAATTTTTTCTATCAAGTTAGTTTTCAAAGCAGCTAGCTAGAGCCTGACAATTTGTGTCAAATATTCTGCACTTGTTTCAAATGTACTACATAGAATGCGAGCAACGCACTCTTTTTCTGCATAAAGCTTGCTGCTTGAACTGCAGAGCCTCTTTTACCTTGCAGATGAGCATCTTGACACACTAAATCTGTCAGTGAGAAATGGACAAAAATAGAATCAAATTCCATCTCCAAATTTGGACAGAACTGCAATGTGTAAATACAACTTTTGAGGTGAATTCCAAACTGGTATTTGGACTTCTTCAGTAAGCTGTTTTGTTGCTGTTTGCACGGTGTCTGTTACGTGCAGGATTGCATATTAGCAGAGGAATACTTCACTTCCTTAAACTCCTTGTTGGGACATTTTGTTCAATGGAGAAGTGATTACCTACAGACTATGACAACAGGATTTGTGAATGGAGGAGGTCTTGGAAAGCACCGCTATGCCAGGTGGAATCGTGAGGACAGTGGAGAAGACTATGGGCGTGAGGAGTGCTGTGGAGGAGATGAAGAGGGCAGGCAGCAGAGGCTGACTCCATTTGAGAAACTAATGCAGGATATGTCCCACAATGAAAAAGTGGTGAAAGAATTAACCCTGGGAAAGAGAATTGGCTTCTATCGAGTCAGAGGAGAAATAGGAAGTGGGAATTTCTCGCAAGTGAAACTTGGAATTCATTCTCTTACCAGAGGTAGGCACTGCTGTGTGGGTCACCCGGTTTCTGATTGCCTAGTTCTGTATATACATAAACTGACCTGTTTGGTAAGAAAAATGCTGCCGAAACCTTCAATACACATACCAGTTTTATGTGCCTTCTTTGTTGTGTGAACCTGTAAGCAAGTGCAAAGATAAATGTTTAGGTTAGAGATACCTTCAGCCGTAACAAGCAGCCAGAAACACTTCATTTGGGTGGCACGTCTCACCCTGCAGCTCACGACTCCCCACGCTTTGAAAGATAGTGCTGCAAACAGTCCACCTGCTGTCTCCCGTGCCCTGCTCAGAGGCTGCAGCCTAGCTTGGCATGGGCCTCCCACAGCTGGAGGGAGCAAGGCTTCCTTTGTTTAATGGCTAATTTCAATAATTTTGGTGACAAATTTGATGTTGTGTCATGCAGGTGGTTCACTAAGGTAAAAAGCTGGCACAGGGAATACAAGTGTAGGCTGAGCAGATGCAGGAAAACAAGTGTTGGTACAGCCAAACCTGGGTAGAGGGTAAGTACAGAAACACACTGCATATACTGCTTGCATGAAGGGCTAGAAAAGCTAGGTAACTGCAACAAACACTTTGGTTACAGGTGTAACTATGAACTTGCTTTCATCTACCCTGTTTCTTCTGCTGTCTTTGACCAAAACAGAAACTGTGCTTGATTTCCCTTGGGGATAGCTACTTTTCCACATGCCTTTGTACATTACTATCTTCAGTTTTTCTCCTGTCTTTCCTTTATAACTCAATCGATTCTCATTCCTTTCACCATCTGAAAGGTGAGAAGACTAGGTACTCCCCAGAACTTTCATTCTTTACTATCTGCTGCTATTTTTGCTGACCACCTCCTTCAGCCCAGATTGCAGAGGTCTGAAAGCTCACGTTGAGTCCAGTTACAATGCAGTTTTTGCATTGGGAAGTGAAAAATTGGTGATATTGTCTTTTCTTGTGTTTTTGTGCTGTTTTTTTTTCCCCCAAAACTGAAGTCTGTCTAAGCCTACATGGCTTGTCTATCTGGGTTCATCTTTTCTGCTTCCTTGCTCCAGGAAGACCTGTTCTCCTTGGCCTACAGCAAGTTGTTTCTTTGTCTGGTGAATGATACTTTTCCTTTCAGAGAAAACTGTCTTGTTTATCATTTCAGAAATGCTGCTCCCGTACTGGGAACAGGAGGAATGCTAATGGGAAGATAAATTTGAGCCAGATGAGCTTTTACCTGTTGAATTTCCCTAGGAGACAGGTTGTTTTAGCATTTACATAGGGCTGATTCATTGAACATTTTTGGACTTCGGCAAGTGCAGTAAATGTGAACAAATTAAATACCAGAACCAGACTTTTTTTTCCTTGAAAAGCTTGATTTTCACCAAAAATCTCTAAAATCACTTTTTTGTTGTTGGGGGTTAAAATTTTCAGTGGGTAATTTTCTGATGCTAATTTTGCAACTGTCACGAAGAAGGAAGGCTGAGGGGAGAGCACCATCTTACTTGTTTCTGCTTGTGACTTTGTCTGGCATCATAAAATATGCAGTTGGGATGGAGGAGAGGAACAAGTGTGGATGCACTTCCCCTACATAAGCATGCACACATACACACACCCTTCCAAAGAGGAGTCTCCTTCCAGTGTATGTTCATTGCTGTTTTGTTAATGAACTGATGTGTCTGCACAGTGCTAATGAATAAGTTTCCTTTTGGAAACTTGCAGGCATCTCCTTTTGGCAGAGATGCAAGGCCTTCCTTGGGGCAGGGGAAGGTACTTGTATATCTTGCGTATATTCATCTCTTCAGTTGTTGTTTAGGTTCTAAGCATTGTCTTTCTGCTGACATCTCACCTTACTTGAAGAAGGAAACAATTTCTTTCTTCACCATGATCAGTTTCTGTAAGGATTCCGTAATCAGGTGTGTGCTGTTCTGTAGCCCTCATGCTCTGTTGCAGTAGAACACCCGAAAAACTTTTGCAAGAAGCTCATAAGGGCAAAAAAAAAAAAAAAACCGGTAGCATCAAAGTGGATGAAGAATCCTGCTTCTCTCACAAAGAGAACCTTGGTTGTTCAGCAGTTGCAGAAAAATCTTTGGTGGTGTGATGTGTATTGGGTTATTTGGATGCACTGCCCCAGCTTGGTTTTGATTTTATGTCCTTTTGCCAATATAGCATATGCTACTTTTTCCTGAAATAATTTCTCAACCATTTATTAACTTCTCTGATTCAGTATAACTTCAGATAGATCTTTTCAAACCTCAACGTATGGTCAGTCAAAATCTTTCTAATAATTAATTTCAGTATTTTGGTGAATAAATTTCCTGATGAAAATGACCTGTTTAGAACTGCTGCCATACAAAGGAAATACAGCATTTAGAAACTGGGCTCTTTTTTTTTTTTTTAATTTTCTTTTCTGAAACAGTTTTGAAAGGAAACAAAGGCCTTTTCATACACTGTAGGTCAGCTGGTTTTCTACGTACTGCATGCACATACAACTGCAGAAATGCAGATTTTAATGAGCTTGGTCCTGATACATGGTACTGTGTGAATAAGATCAGGCCTTTTCGTTCCAAACCCTTTTTGTTTGTTTGTTTCCTTTCCTTTTAAAATTTTATTGAGAAAGTAGACATAGCAGAGGGATGGGAGCAGATGAACTTTAAGGTCCCTTCCAGCCTAAGACATGCTCTATTTATCCTATAAGTTGCTTGTTGTTGTTGTTGTTTAAAGTCCAAATTGTTTTGCTTGTTTAAAGTCCAAATGCTCCCAACTTTTATCAGTCAAGATGTAACAATGCAATTACATAGCTAAGATTGTGTAGCATCTGTAGCATCTAAACATCTAGCTGTGCAAATCTGCCCCAAGCTAGCACTCTTTAGTCTTGGTTCAGGGGGTCAATATACTACCAATGTGACAGGGGTTTTACAGTCTTTCACCTCTAGGTCAGCAGTCAGAGCTCTGCCAGGATCTGCCACGTGCTGTTCCCATTAAACACCTCATTCCCTTCTGTTCACCGTGCCAGGTGTCTGTACCGTGCAGTAGGTGCAATCATTCCTAATAGTATCAGTAGGCAGCAAAAAAGCAGAGGAGTCTGCTCTCTCCTCAGTTCAGACTTTGTCTGAAAGCAGAAGCATGGAAGGGATAAGTCAGCAGCTCAGAATCTCACTTCCCCAGAGTATCTGCTGCATGTAGTAGGAGAATCAATTCATGCATTTATATTACTAAGAAATGCAAATATACCAAACATGGAGTTTTCTTAATTTGTACAGACATAAATGCATATAAATCAATAACGCTTCAGGTGTACTGAAACATAAAATTTGAGGTAAATAACTATAAATGTAAATGGTGTACAACAAAAGTGTAAATGGAAGCACCTTGAAAGTTTTTCTACCAAATGTAAAACCATAATGGCCTTGTCATGCTTCTTTTAAAGTAACAGCTTTTATTTTTTAGTAATTTAACCTTGCCTGCTAGAACATGAAGTTTTTCTTAGAAATAAAATGATAGGAATAATGAATTGCTAGGATATCTGTGGATTTTTTTTTTTTTTCCCAAGAATAAGCAGTTGTTTTAACTACTATGTTCCAGTTTAATTTTGCTGTCTTAGTAAGTTATACAAAGACACTGTAAGCCTATTTTAACCAGACTAATCCCTCCAATACCAGCTGTATTGAAGACAAACACCATGACCTACCAGTTTTCATACAGAACCGCAGGAGCAATTCTCACTGAGCTTTTTGAGCTACCCTGTTGATATGGTGAAGCTGTATATGTATACTAGCATTTCAAGGCCCTTAGCTTATAAATATGCTACAGAAGCAAGCAGAACTTAACCACAGCTTTGCATTACCAGGACCGTATAAGACTGATTAGTTGTTTTACATGATCCCTGCAACTTATTCTATGTCGCTGTTTTGTTTCCTTTCTTGGTATAAAATCTGTGGTGTGAATTCACGGCCCACTGTGGTGCAGACATACATAAAATTGTACTTTTCCTGTATTCTGTGCAGTACCAAGAGCCACTCATGCATGAACACGTTGGAAAAACTGGCACAGCTATCCTGAGAAAGACAAACCTCTGCAACACTGATTTTGGTAACTGAGAATTTGTGGGGATATGGGATAAGCCATTAGGCAACATTTCTGTAAGTCACATACATGTAAACACATCTGCTATAAGCTTGCAGGGTTATTTTCAAAGTCCTTACACTACCTCCATGTTAGTCCATCTGCTCTGGAACAAATTGCCTAAATTCAAACCTCCATTAGTCCGTAAGCACCACACTGTTGCATGTAATAAATTCACAGCACTGAGCTAGCAACAAAGGCACAGACTTCCTTTAACAAATCTGAGCACACAGTCAGGTTGAAAAGTGGGAAAGGTCTGCAGCTCAGGCTTAGAGGGCTTCCAGGAACAGTCTGTATCCTCAGAATAGAGCCTCCAGATTTTGTAATGCTGAAACTCTCATTTGCCCACTTCCTTCTCAACAACAGAGAGCAGGAACACTAGCTTCCACTCAGGGGCCAGATTTCTGTTTTGAAAGCTGTAATGCCCAAGTAAGATACCTCACATAGATAATTGTTCCCATCAGATATGTACTGACATGCTTGACAGCCTAGGAACAGGTTACATGATTTGATTAGCACTTGTAATACTCTACAAGCCCTTAACTGTATCAGCAGGAGGATGCTGGAGACAGTAGGGTGTGAAAGATGACAAAGCTTAGTAAGCCCCTCTAGCTTATCTTATATTCATCATTGCAGTTATGTAACTATTTACATTTATGTTGCGTACATTTACATTGTACATAAATAGTATTACTGTTTGTACTTACTGAATTAACATGGAAGAGTACTTTCTTTTCAGAGAAAGTAGCTATTAAGATTTTGGACAAGACAAAACTAGACCAGAAGACTCAACGTTTGCTATCTCGTGAGATATCAAGCATGGAAAAACTCCACCACCCAAATATCATCAGGCTGTATGAAGTGGTGGAGACACTCTCAAAACTGCACCTGGTAATGGAGTATGCAGGAGGAGGGGAACTCTTCACTAAAATCACTACAGAAGGAAAGCTAATAGAAACAGAGTGCAAAATAATCTTCTCCCAGATTGTTTCTGCTGTGAAGCACATGGTAAGTTGCTCTTCCATGGGCATGTTTCTCCTCACTGCTTCAGCTGATTTTGAGGATGTATTTTGTTTTTCCAATTAGTAAATTTACTGTTATCAGGATTTCAGGCACATATCTTTGAAACCAGCTTGAAAAATGCTGTCTTAAAGATACCTAAGAGTGCTTTCACATCCATCTCAACTTACTGCCTCTCTGTTGATATGTTTAGGGAGGAGACTGAATTGAGAGCATGTGGTGGAAGGAGCCATCCATTCAGTAATAGTGTTCCTCCTGACCACTTGTTTTTGTATGGATCAGGTAGCAAAGCTTCATTTCATCCCTCAGCTATTACAAAAGAGCATCACTCACTTTTCTGCTAGAAGAAAGCAGTCCCAAGAAGAGTTGTATTGTGTATTGCAGACATCCAGCTTACTTACTAATGAATGTGGAAGACTAGTGCTTAAGGCAGTTAATTCCTGTTCCTTGCTTAGGTGATGTCAACACTCAGCAAGCCACTTCCTCTTTTCTAGTTTTCATTACTGCAACTAGACTTAGAATGATGCAATTCATAGAACCCAAAGCATTCTATAAAGGCAGAAAAGAGTAATTAACCACTTCTAGCACACCCTCCTCTGAATCTTGCTTAGCAACAGCTGCTTAGAACAACGTTACGAAAGTCATGAGAAGGCTGCTCTGTTTGACTTAACACTAGTATTTGTTAAAGTTGGCTCAGAGTGCCCTCCTGTGGCTCAAACTCTCCTGCCATGTAATGGGCTCCAGCTCCAACAGGCAGGACGATGCAAGCAAGGGTATTTCAAGGTCGGACACCTAGAAATGCATTGCAAACAAATGCATTTCAATATATGAAAAACATGTTAATGTATTTTGACAGAACAATCAGATGTCTTTAAATGAATTAGCTTCAACATCTTTTCCACAGGACAAGTATTCAGGATCTACTGGATCTTAAAGATCGTGTGTATTTCTTAGCATTAAACCCAGATCTCCAAGCTCATGAGCCTCTTTACTCATACACTCAGTCTCCTGCAAAAATATTTTATTTTTGCGAATCTATTAAAATCGGGCCACTTATATCCCATCTCACTGTTGTCAGCCCATCTGAAGACTGAAGATCCTTGCTTATTGATCCTTGCTATTGATCTAGTGTCTCCATGTACATCCTCTTACTAACAAGGGTAAGGGCAGAGAATGCTCAAACTCTTTCATTCTTCCTAGTCATTTCAAAGATGGAATTAAACCCTTACTTAGTCAGTATAGTTATATGTCTACTCAGAGAGCACATCAATATCTTCATTTCTGAGGTTAAAAAAAAAGGTACATGTTGCAGCCTATTCACTTCAGATTTCTAAAAGTAGAAGACAATAGTGAACATCCTGCAAAGACATAAGATATCACCAAGCACAGCTTTGTGCACACCTCTTCTCTTGCCAATACTAGATATTAGGATATGGATCACAAACTAGAACAGTTGCTACAGTTCTCCTGTCTGGTACCACATTCACTTAATGTTATCAATGAACTACAAGCTTTCAGTTCATAAGTCTGCATGCTCAGAACAAATGCAAAAATGGCTTTACATACTTAAAAAAAATACTTCTGTTACACCAGTCCAGAAATGTAGTCATTTCAAAAACAAGTGCTCTGAATCTTGAAAAAATAAAAAATACTTAGCACAGGAAGATACACAGTCATGTAGGATTAGCCATAATGCCATCACATCTGCTTAATATAAATACTAATTCCTAACTAATGCTAATAAATACTAACAAGATGTTGCTATCCTTCAAAACATATATGTGTATGTATATACACATTTCTGCACCTCCTCATTCCACCAGTAGAGAATTAAGATGGACTTACAACCTTTAGTTTCATAGAAAAGCTTATTTCTTTGTTTGAGATAATTCCCTTTCCTAGGTAATTTATCAATAAAAGATAAGTAGTCACTTAAGCACTTGCTAATGCTCAATGTTCTTCTTCTATAGCATGAGAATAATATCATTCATCGGGATTTGAAAGCAGAAAATGTTTTCTACACCAGTAACACCTGCGTTAAGGTGGGAGACTTCGGATTCAGCACAATCAGTAAAAGAGATGAAACTTTAAATACTTTCTGTGGGTCTCCTCCTTATGCTGCCCCTGAACTCTTCCGAGATGAAAACTATGTTGGCATTTATGTAGATATCTGGGCACTAGGAATATTGTTATACTTCATGATAACGGGGATCATGCCATTTCGGGCAGACACGGTGGCCAAACTGAAAAAGTGCATTCTCGAAGGAACGTACAGTTTGCCTCCCTGCCTCTCAGAAGCTTGCCAGAAACTGATAAAAGGAGTCCTTCAGCCAGTACCAACAGAACGATATTCTGTCAAACTTATTATGAACAGTGAGTGGATGCAGGGGATACAGTACCCAAAACCTTTACAGCCATTTAAACTGGATCCTAAGTATTTATCAGAGATCAATACACTCAAAGAGGAGGAAATGGAAGTGAAAAATGCTCTGAAAGATCTGGGAATCACAGAAGAACACATTCAAAATAACCGGGGAAGAGATGCACGCAGCTCAATAACAGGTGTCTACAGAATTGTTTTACACAAAGTACAAAGGAAAAGGGCCCTTGAATGTGTCCCTATAATGTCCCATCCAGATCCCAAGGAACAAGACATAAAGAAAGGAATCAGCTCTTGTAATGGTATAAGGCACACATCCAAGCTGTGTTCTATTTTGTAAACCACACTGCAGGCTTTATACTCAGCACACTTATCAAAGGGTTTTATTCACTTTTCACAGGTTTTGGTGTTGCATTTTTTGTAATTTTTAAATAAATCAAATTGCCTCATCTCCTTTGTATTTTTCAGCTCACACTGGAAGTGTTCACATGCAGAGCTCTAATGTACTTGTTTGTTCCTTGCTCCAGAAACATGGTATAAGTAGTGCAGTAACTCAAGTAAAACAGAAAGAAATTATCAGTGGACGTGATCTTTTAATAAAGATCAAATGGTATTGCATGTAACACACTTCGGAGATCTCTCAGTACAGCTATGTAATGGTTAACTTCTTGACAAGTTTTACCTTAGCTTGACACAACTACACCACTGCACACAGGACAGTTTTTGCAGAGAACTACGTTCAAACAGAAAACAGACTGCAAATTGTTAAAAGCATCTTAAGCAAATTAAACTTGCTAAATTGAAAAAAAAAACCAAAATCAACTCTAATTACATTTTAAAGAAAGAGCAGTGCTGCTGTTGACCACGGTTCTTGATTTGTTACAATTCAAAGGCAAATTCAGATTTGCTACTTTAACCCTGCATGTGTGGTTGCAGTTTTTAATGCCTAACTGGCTGGATTACCAACCATTAATCTTCTGACACTTTCCACTATTTGTATGATTCTCACAGTCTCTAAATGCTTGGAATAGAGCTGTACTCCAATAAAGAAACAGATGTAAGCATACTCTTAAACTCTGAAATTCTTATTTTAGCACTAGATATCTGTAAGTAAATAGACTGTTGTCAATACCAAAATCTATTTACGGGATGTATTAACCTTCTGTCATGCTGCTTGGGCAAGAAGGCTGGTACAAAACTGATTTTTATATTCCTGACAATTCCAATTCTTCTGATGTCACCAAGATGTTGCAATGTCCCATTCTACCTTCATTTTTCAAGTAATTTAATCAACCAGCCCAAATGCAGTAGTGGAAAAGTGCAGTAGCTTTCCTCTGAACAGGCACAACTGAAAGGCCTATGCTAAGGCAGAGTCCGAACGATTTTAGTTAAGGTGAGTAAACAAATGAAAGGTTTAGAGAGTTGCATCTAGTGCTCTCAAATATAAAAGCAGAATGCCTTATCTATTACAGGGACTCATTAGATGTTTTGTTGATCTTAGAAATAGTGAGTAATGTAAATAAGCAACAGGATGACTTTGAAAAACCACCTGTGGGAAACAAGGTTCAACCAGACTCAGCTATGCAAAAAGCAAGAAGCAATCCCCTTTCACAGTTTTTGTGAGAAGGAGATAAAACAATTCTACCTTTCAAAATACAGTAATGAGATTAATTTTATTTCATAGGTTGTGAATGAATTTCTCCACTATGAACAGATTCCACCTGAAAACACTTGTTATCTTGAAACAAAGCCTTGAAGTAATGATTTTCCACAAACCTCAGCAACTCTTTCTTTCCATTTTTTTTGTAAGGAAACATTAAAGAGAATGATCCAGGAGGTCCACAAAGATTGTGAACCCAGAACTTCAAGTTTTCATAAGGCCAATTTCCTCTTTCTTGCCTGTTAAAGAAAAATTGCATCCTGAAAACCCAACAAGTCAGCACTACTCCAGCATGTTTCAAATATCTCAAACTTTATTTTAATAAAGGATCTGCCTCACAGTGAGGTCCCTGTGGTTAACTTTTTGTGCCAGTAGCAGCTCAATTCTTGGCTTGTCCACTGCCAGCAATGGACTTTTGTTCCATGGCATTTTTATTTTCTGGTGCAGGACAAGTTTCATGAGGGCAAACTAAACCAAAATACTTGCAAACAGTATTTTCATGCATCACTGCTCCATCACTTTCAGCAGAACAAACAGATTATTATCCATCAAATTATAAACATCGATTTTATCAAGGCTTGACTGTACAAATACAGCAAGTTACCAAACCCTAGTAAGTGACAGATATTACAAACACTTTGTTACACAAAAAAAGATTGTGATTAAAACAGATGAATATTTTTTGCTACTTTATGAGATATGTAGCTCTGTAGAATTAGCAAAGAAATAAAGTTCAACAAAACTTCATTCTGTACATTAGCTCAATTAAATATATATTACAAGCTTACAAGGCTCATGTCATAGTTTATTTCTAATCTGGGCTTTAAAAAGCTACCAGAATATAATCCCCATAAGTAATATGTATCTACCACTTGCAAGACGGATAGCTTCTAGTGTGCACATTCAGAAAAAAAAGAAAGAAAAGACCCCACTTCTACGACATCCCCAATAGAGAGAAGAACTTCAAAGTACAATGCCAAATTCAAAGTTAGAAATTGTCTCTTAGAAATGTATTATATAAACAATAGCAAGAGGTCAGAGTTCCAAGTTTGGGTCATCCAAAATGATCTTTTTTTTCAGATTACTAATTAAAGCAGCTCTAATGATATTTACGAGTTTTATTTTAAAAGTCTGCTTCCTTAAATGTTTCTGTTACAGTCTGATAATCCTGAAAAAGTGCCGTTATCAGTCAGTTCAAGAAATTTCTTATGAAGAACAACTGTCTGTCTCCCTTATAACTCCTCTTTCCCTGCAGTCTTCTATGATTTGTAACGCAGACATAAAATACACAAAATGGATAGGTGGAATTAAGAAGTAACTAACATAGTCAGTTACAGAGTTTCTTAAGGTGAAACTATCAGCCTTGTGTCTTGAACCATTCATTCTGATGGGGGAAAAGTAATTTTATTCCAGTAATGTTATTTGGTTCTATGCCTTTTCCAAAGCAACGGTGTAAGGAGAGGTAGATTGGGAGAAGAAAGGAAGGTAATAAGGGGAAAGAGAAGTACAGTATTCAGAAGACTGACTAGTTACTGTCAAGGCACTGAGAACCCTAACATTAAAAGCTCAGACTTTTGCAAGTACAAGTAGAAGTTAACAGTGTAGGTTTCAAGTCAACTGACATGGGAAAAGCAAGCAGAAGATTCATTCTTTTCTATGTACAAAGACCTTGTAATAGACTACAACTACTATTCAGCAATTAAAAAATTCAGACACGTTAAAGAATCCACAAAGCCCCTAGCAAGTTGCTCTATCCCCAGTATATTAATGATTTTAGTGTTCTGAAAATACTATAAATATCAGCACACGGTATTACGACAAATCCTTTCAAGGAGTTTAAACAGCTTTTTCATGCTCCAATTAAGTACTACTGTATAATGAAACTCCAGTACTACTGTAATCTTTCCACTCTTTCATCCTACCCTCACACCTTTTTCCATTTCCCACCTCACAGAGGTATCTTAATGCTCCCCATTGGAAATGGCAACAGTAACGCCTTCAGATTCTGTTGTTGCAGGGATTCTTGGCACTTTCTTAGCAGGGCTTGGGATGTGCTAAGAGGAAGGGAAAAAAAGCATTAAATACAGGTTTCTAGTTCACATACATTCATACTTCAGGCTAGTCCAACTTCCGAAAAATATTCATGCTATGCTGGATGGCTTGGTCTTAAGTCATTCAAATCAGTCATGGCTCATGCAAATGAATGTGTGAAAAGAGTCTGTTTCTTCTTGTTTCATTCTTGTGTAGTTTCATTCATTCATGTTAGGATGAAATGTGCTTTTTAAAATCCCATGCTTGATTCTTTTTTTTTTTTTTTTTTTAAACATTTCTGGTTTCTATGTTACATATTTTAACAAAGCATTTGAAAGAACTTTTAAAACCCCTTCCTCTTTTAACATATGTACACATGCTGTGACAAACATATAAACTGTTCAACCATTTATATCAAACTTTAAAAGAGCGCTCAGTGTTCACCTCATGAACAATGCCTGGGTGGACAACTTCAACTCCTGCCTCCAGGGGTCCATCAACCATAACTGGGCGTCGTGCATATGTTCTTCTGTGTTTCTCATCCACACGCACAAGATACCATGTTCCCTCAAAGAGATCTTCTACTGAACACTGTGGAATATAGTTGGCTGTGAACAAAGGAAAAAAAAAGCCAATGATGTACAGTCAGCTGGTTCCTGTTGAGCGTTCCATACAACAGAGGCCATCAGGTGCTGCAGTTTCAAGTAATAAAAAAAAAAACCAAAAAAACAGGAAAACCAAGTCTCCATTTTCACTGCAGTCACATCAGGCCAATAAATACAAACTACTGAAAATATCTTTACAAGGTATACAGGTGTAGAAAAAGTTGGACATCTACTTCATTCTATACCCAAAACATTTAGTGATAGCCATGCAAATGTTGCAATAAGTACTTTGCTATAGGATTAGTAACGTTTTATATTTACATTCTTACCCAAGTGATGTGTCTCCTGTCTAATCTTCATGTTTTCAGCAAAGACATCAGGTGCAATGCATTTTCTTGAGTCAAGTCTTGCTTTAAGATCAGAAAGGCTGGCAGTTATTTTGTCCAGTGCAGAACCTACAACATAAAACTTATAATGTAGGGTAGCACCAGTGCTAAGCACAGCACATTAGCACTGCACAACCATTCAAAATATTTTGCATTATAGAAGCTGAACTTCTAGTTAGTTACAAATATTCCTTGATATTGAGCAACCAACTTGAGCAAAACTCTTGTAGCATCCGAAACTGCAATCTATTTGCCTAAGGAGATACTTTCAAGGTGATCCTGCTCTAGGGAATATTTTATATTACTGTCATTAAGCACTGTTCAACAGTTTTACTTAAGCTGGTAGGTAATACAACAAAGCAGTCAGAGGTAAGCTATGCAGAGGAGTTAATTTACATCTCCTTTCACTCACCAGGAGTGGCATCCTGTGTAACTCTGATGGAATACAGCGTAGCAGCAAAACCAGAGCCATATGAGAACACACTAATTCTTTGTCCTGCAAGGTGCTCTGGAGAGTACCTGTAAATCAAACAACAGTTGGTTAAAGTGAGAGTAAGGCCAAGGTGCAAGTTTTAAAATAACCAGAAAGCACAGCTGACTTAGAAAAAGCAGCCAGCAGACTGTACCTACTACAATACCAAATTGAGGGTGTTACATAAATTAATGAAAGAGGATTTC